GAGGCAGGAATCGTCGATTAAGTTGGAAGCTTTTTTACCGCCGTTGACATTTTATCCATCCCATGCTAAATGTTTTGAGATAATAGGAATTTAGCCTTTTTTCCTTTGTCAATGCTAAGATCTCACGGTAGTTCCGAGTTTCCGACCTCCAAAAGCTATAATAGCAATAACCATCGAAAATTTGTTGCTTTATTATTGTTAAAACATACAGTCGAACCTCAATGTGCGACCACCTCTCCTAAGCGAACGCCAATCCAAAAAACCAAACATTTTACCAGTCAAAGCCTTACAGTTGGACCCTCTAGTAAACGACCACCTCCTGTAAGCGACCGCGACCACTTCTTGGGCCTGACGGGTTAATGATTTTCCATTTATAATCTCTGGTAAGAGATCACTTGACGCATTCTCTGATCTCTACGTTCGCTGTGTGCACTACGCTACTAAGAATAAACGAAGAACTTTAGAGACATCATGGAACTACACACGGGCGTAACTTAGACATCGCACGCAATAAATATCTTCCTTAAAATATATGTATCTGGACCTCTTCTCGTAAGAGAGCAGCCAGTCTTTGCATTTCGGGAGGTTCGACTGTACTAGTATAGATGCATTTTTAGCCATGTCTGGCCCCCCAAATGTCAACTTTTTTTCTGGGGGAGCATACCCCCGGATCCCAAATTAGACCCCCACTCTCAACCCTTCTACGCGGTCTGTGACTCAGTACACTGGCCTCAAGCATATCGAATGCTGTACCCCACCCTTGGAGACACTTACAATATGGATACCCTGTTCTATATCGATAGTTCCAAAATCATGACCTAGCCTGAAGAACAGGCGCTACCGTAAACTGCCGCTTATAAGCCCATCCGCTTATAAGCTCCCCCGGTTATAGGCCCACCTACATGCAAACAAAAAGATACATCCGATTATAAGCCCATCCGGATATAAGCCCCCCTCCAGTTTTTGTTTTTTATTTTGTTTTGAAATTTAACTGAATTCGATTCATTGCTGCCTTTTTAAAGCTTCAATTGTAAGAGAAATAAATTTAAATCATACGTCGATCAACAGTGCTGTTGCTCATTTCGAAACGTTTTTTTTCGTCCGCTTATAAGCCCATCCTGATATAAGCCCCCCGTTTATAAGCCCATCCAAAACCCTTTACGAACTTGTATAAGCCCAGGGCTTATAAGCGGCAGTTTACGGTATAAGGGGATTCCAATAATTCTATTCGGGTTGTTATCCCCCCTCGGATATAAGCCCCCCGTTTATAAGCCCACCCAAAACCCCTTACGAACTTGTATAGGCCCAGGGCTTATAAGCGGCAGTTTACGGTATATTTTCAGGACGATATTCTGGTGCCTTAACATTTTATTCTCAGAATAACGTGTTGAACGTTTGAAAGTTTAGTGTTCTAATTTGAGAGTCGGCATTGACATCAAAAGGATGATTTTATCGCACCCTTCCTTGTTTGA